TTCTTTGTTTATATGTCGATGATATTCTCATCATAGGTAGTAATGATCGGATGATCAAATCTACCAAAAATATGTTAAATGCGAGATTTGACATGAAGGATATGGGTATGGCTGATTTAATCCTTAGGATTAGAATCATTAGAAGACCTGATGGTCTCGTGTTGAGCCAATCACATTATATTGACAAAATCCTTGAGAAATTTAACAAGGATGATAGTCAAATGGCTAGGACACCATTTGATACAAACATTCATCTAACCAAGAACCACGGAGAAGGTATTTCACAAGTGGAATATGCTTGGGTTATTGGTAGTTTGATGTATCTTATGAGTTGTACTAGGCCGGATATTGCCTATGCGGTTAGTAAACTCAGTAGATATACGAGTAACCCCGATGCTATGCACTGGAAGGCAACAGTAAAGGTTATGAGATACTTGAGGTATACTCATGATCTTGGACTGCACTACGGGAGATATCCCGCTATACTTGAAGGGTATAGCGACGCGAACTGGATATCTAATATTAAGGACTCTAAGTCCATGAGTGGCTACGTGTTTACACTAGCCTGTGCTGCTGTTGCATGGAAATCCTCTAAGCAAACTGTGATAGCTAGATCCACGATGGAATCTGAGCTGATAGCCTTGGACAAAGGTTGTGAAGAGGCTGAATGGCTACGCCATTTTATAGAGGATATTCCTAATTGGGAAAGACTAGTACCTCTAATATGTGTGCATTACGATAGTCAAGCCACAATTGGGAGAGTACAGAGTCATATGTATAATGGTAAGTCTAAACATGTGCGTCGTAGACATAATACCATTAGACAACTACTCACAACTGGTGTTGTCTCGATTGACTACGTAAAGTCAAAAGACAATATAGCGGATCCACTGACCAAAGGGTTAGGCAAAGAAGTTGTGGAGAAGTTGACACAAGGAATGGGTCTAATTCCCTTGGACTAAAAATTTCTATAGTGGATACCCAACCTAGCTGGCACCTAGGTTCAATGGGACAACTAAATTATGGAACGAAACGCGTCACTGTGGGGGTCTCGAACTCCTTACCACTCCTCGTTAAAATAGTGACTCCCGCAAGAGGCTAGCATGTTAATGCTTTAATGGTTCTTGAGTATGTGGGATACTCGAGAAAGAATCACCTATGTAAGAGAGAAATGAGGGTCGCTTCAAAGGAGAATTGTTGGGCACAATTCTTTAGAAACTCTCGCAGAACCAGGAACGGTTACCCACGACCAAAACGGGCACACTCGTGAGAGCAAGGGCATGGTTGGGAGATTCTGGTGTGAGATATGTCATCGTCTACACAAACGGCAGTCGGTTCAAAGACATCGTGTTCTACCGTACAGCCAGTAGAGTAAACATGTCTTCACGAGGGAAGGTTCAAAGCGTATAGTGACTCCCTACCTATCGTATGCAGGGATCGACCGTTTGAACACAGTTGTTTCCGATTTCAAAATACCCTGAAAATCAATTTTTAATTCATGTGGGGGATTGTTGGAAAAAATAGCTTAAAATGGCATAAAATGGCATGTTAAGTGGCTACTTTGTGGTACAATTATAAGTGGGCTCCATTTTTATTTGGGTCGGGTCAAAGTGGATTCGGATTCTTCGTAGTGAGACGAAGAGATCGATATATTGTACGCTTAAAACGGATAATGGGTGAATGAGATATTGATTCTCAAAGTAGACCCATTTTAGTTGGAAAATGAAGGGAAAAAGTGAGCTTTTGTCCCACATTGGTTTGGAAAGAGGATTTGCCCCCCCCCCCCCCCCCCCCCTTATATACAAGAGCTCTTTTGAAGATTATAGAATTCTATAGCATAGAGGCTCTCTCGCACGCGCGCGCGGGGGTGGGGGGGTGTAAATCAAATTCCAACTAGACGAGATTGAAAAAGGCTTGATCCAAGCCCGAGCTCGTGTGCGCCGGCACCTGCGGGCGGAAATTGGCCGCGAGGCTAAGTTTAGGCAAAACTTTGAAAACACACACCTGCGGGCAGAAATTGGCCGCGAGGCTAAGTTATGCTAAACTTCCAAGGCAGTGAGAAGCAGATTTTTCGAAGCAGCAGAAGTAACAGTACACGAAACTTTGAAAACACAAGAGCAACAAGCAAAACTTTGAAAAAACATGAACTTTGAAAACACAAGAGCACAAGAGCAATAAGCAAAACTTTGAAAACACAAGAGCACAGCACAAGCAACAGTACGAAAATCAGCACAAGCAACAGTACACGAAACTTTGAAAACACAAGAGCACAAGCAACAGTACACGAAACTTTGAAAACACAAGAGCACAGCACAAGCAACAGTACACGAAACTTTGAAAACACAAGAGCACAAGCAACAGTACACGAAACTTTGAAAACACAAGAGCACAAGCAACAGTACACGAAACTTTGAAAACACAAGAGCACAGCACAAGCAACAGTACACGAAACTTTGAAAACACAAGAGCACAGCACAAGCAACAGTACACGAAACTTTGAAAACACAAGAGCCGAGCACAGCACAAGCAACAGTACACGAAACTTTGAAAACACAAGAGCACAGCACAAGCAACAGTACACGAAACTTTGAAAACACAAGAGCACAAGCAACAGTACACGAAACTTTGAAAACACAAGAGCACAAGCAACAGTACACGAAACTTTGAAAACACAAGAGCACAGCACAAGCAACAGTACACGAAACTTTGAAAACACAAGAGCACAGCACAAGCAACAGTACACGAAACTTTGAAAACACAAGAGCCGAGCACAGCACAAGCAACAGTACACGAAACTTTGAAAACACAAGAGCACAGCACAAGCAACATTACACGAAACTTTGAAAACACAAGAGCACAAGCAACAGTACATGAAACTTTGTTTTTTCCAGCCTCAAAACTCTGCTTCTACTCCTCTTCTTAGCCATACTGTGTTCATAGCCATTGTCTTGCTCGCCGGATTCTTTGCTTGAATGCTCAAACATTGAATCATAGCAAGTTTTATCCTGGGAAGCCTAGGCCACAACGCTCCTAGCATCCTTGGGAGGTGGCAAATAAGGTTTTAAAGAAAGAGTGATTGCTTGACTCTTACAAAAACCCAATAGCAATCACTAGCCAATTTTCTCCATCTTTCCTTCCCTTATATTTCCAGTAAATAATAATCTTATTTTTTATTATTATTTGTTTTTCTACCAACGGTACCAACATTCACAATCTTCCAAATGGAAGTCCAACCCGGGTACCATTAGACCACATAGTCTTGGTTGATACTCACGACTACAAAATCACCTATTTCTAATTAATTGCTAAGCATAAAGTTTCTAGCAATGACTTGTTGCGTATTGTTATTATATGTACCGTTATACTTTGAAGAAATACTTTTATATAGTATTAAGACAACATATTTTCCATGGTTGGTAAATCAAGATTCAAGAGTTATTAGGGAATAAAAAATAACCAAAGTTATACAAAGTTAATGGCAACATCAATTCAATAGGAAAATCAGCTATTAACTGTTACAAAACTTGTCTCAAACCCTATAAATACTCCACTATTTCTCCTCTCTCCATACAAGCAAATAGTCAATTGTATATGCTTTGTCTGAGTTGTTTCTATCCTCCACTATAGTATTTTACTTTCAAATTTTTTTTTTCTGTTAAGAAAATTGAAGGTTTTTAGCCATGGCAAAGAGGCCTAGCATGGGAAGACAGAAGATCAAGATTGAGAAAATAGAGATGAAGAATCACCTTCAAGTCACCTTCTCGAAACGGCGTTCTGGGCTTTTCAAGAAAGCCAGCGAGCTGTGCATCCTGTGCGGAGTTGAGGTGGCCATCATAGTGTTTTCGCCGGCCGGAAAAGTCTTCTCCTTCGGGCACCCAAACGTGGAGCTGATCATCGACCGGTTTCTTTCCCTGAACCAACACCCTTTGTCGTCCAACAACGCCACCCTCCAACTGGTGGAGGCCCACCGCAGCGCCACCGTCCGCGAGATGAATCTCCAGCTGACCCAGATTATGGCGGAGTCGGAGATTGAGAGGAAGAGAGGAGAGGCGCTTGATGAGATGAGGAAGGAGAGCCGGAGGCAGCACTGGTGGGAAGCTCCGGTTTGCGAGCTTGGGTTGCCGGAGCTCCAGCAGCTGAGAGACGCCATGGAAGAGCTGAAGAAGAATGTTTCTGCCCAGGCGGAGAAGATCAATACTTGTACGGTTTTGGCTATGGACGGGAAGACAACGGGCTATCCTGAGACTAAACCGCCGAGGATTATGGTTAACTATACTCATCATCATCATCAGGCACTACATGACTTTGGATATGATCTTACATTTTCCTGAGCTACTGGATGGACTGGTTTCATCGGTCGATGACATTGTGTACGTGTTATTATTGACCGTTACGTTGGATCAAATTTGTTCATGTTTTATTGTCATGGGTTCGAGTCTTAGTAGAGGCAATTATTTTGTGGACCACGGTCCATATAGCTGTGTAGATCATGAATACAATATACTAAAAGTACATTATTTATATACTGAATATTACATTATTTGATAATATATATATATATATATATATATATATATATATATATATATATATATATATATATATATAATATTGTATTTATAAATAATGTACTTTAAAGATTTGGTCAAACGTACCCAACACTGGTTGAATAGTCTTGCACACCACCTATGTATATATTTTCATTTTTCTATCTATTGACAATATCTCCATTGAACTAAACTGCGGGCATATCATAGTTCATAAGTTTTTTTCATTGTCATTTTTGTCACCCATGATGAGATTCACATATGCTATAACCAGTTTTATCGTTTCACATTTATGAAAAAAAGAACTCGCCAAGTAAACGGGAGAAAGAAACTCGTCAAAACAACAAGATGAAAAACACAGAAACTGTAAACAAAATTAAACTAGTAAAACAAAGTAAAGGGAAACAACAATGTAAAAATAAGGGAGTAACAACCGACAACGATGATGATAGGATGGAGGAGAAAACAGTGAAGACAGAGAAGACAATGAAGGCGGACGCTGTCTGCGGTGAAGATGGCAACATGAGAAGATGATCGGACGCCGCCCCCGATCGGCTTGCTTCACGGAGGCGGCGATCGCGAGAGAAAGCAAGGATACATAGGGTATAATGTACTTTATGTATACAAATAATGTATTTGTAGTATATTAAAAATATAATGTACTTTTTATTTATGGTTTACACAAATGTGTGGACTATGGTCCATGAAATAATGATTGGTTATTGACTCTTTGTACTTCAGTAAGTTGAGAAAATAGTTATGAATGAACATATCTTTATTTATGAGACATGTCAGGTTGGGTCCATATGAAAATGTAATACAAATTAGGAATAAAATGTTCCATACTTATAAGGGAAAGTTTATTACTTGTAAGAAAAAAAAAAAAGTAATACATTTACATTTTGATGTAAAATTATTACATTTTTCATCAAAAGTATTACACTTTCCCTTATAAGTAATTTTGGTAAGAGGGAAAATGTGAGGGCACGTTTACTAATAGGAAATTTTCTCCAGTTTTTTGAAAAACTGGAGAATTGAAGAATAGAAAATAAAAAACATGTTTACTAGCACATTTTCCATTTTAAAAACTGAAAACAATTTTCAAGTTTTCTAGCTCTTTAAAACTGTTTTCTTAATTGAAAACAAATGTTTTCTAAATTGAAAACAGAATAATCTAGCATCTATTAAGTTATATGTCACTATAACCACATTAATATGATTACATTCATTATCACAATCTTCTATCTTTTTTACTTACTTTACTTATTTAAACATAACTTATTGTTTATACTTTATAGTTAGGCATTACTTACATTATATTATCAAAATTAAGAATTGAACTCTATACAATGTTTTAGATTTTGATTGAACTCAATAAATTATTAGTTCAGATATTTTTAATTATGTTATATCGTAATTCAAGTTCAGTCCGGATATTGGATATTGAAATCTCACATATATTAGAATTCAAAGTAAAAATTATATATTCATATACATGTCATTCAAATGAATATATCTAAAAAAATATTTTAAATATTAGTTCAAAAAATATTAATATTATCTAAACTAAATTTTAAAGTTGAACTTAGTAGGTTATTGGTTCGGATACATTTTTTAGTTTTTATGTAAAAATATTACATATATTAGACTTAAAAGTGAAAAAAAAAATATCGCATTTAAACCAAACATATGTAAAAATATATTAAATATAAGATCTAAAAATCACTCAAAATTAAACTTGTGTTAATTTTATAACGCTAATGTAAAAAAAAAATTAAAAAATAAGTGTAAGTAAACAAGTTTTCTATATAGAAAATAGAGAATGAGAATTGAAAAATTAGAAAACAGAAAACATAAAACAATTTTCTGTTAGTGAACGGGTCCTAATACTTTTGAGGAAAAACTGTAATACTTTCAAATCAAATATAAAAGTTTTTTTTTTCTTCAAAAATATTATACTTTCCTATCTGAGTAATATACATTTTATTCCATATTAGTATTGGTTTTTAGTACAATTATTATATTTTCTTATTTACTCGACCCGTCTCATGGATATCCGTGAGACAGTCTCACACAAGTTTTTGCTTATAATAAATATTCGTTTTTACATTCTAATCTGATTTACTCTTATTATCTCATTTAATTTAACGTAAAAAAGTTAAATATTTGTTTAAATAATTAGTATTATTTTCACATTCAATTCTAAATAAATTTTTGCATACGTATATAAGTCATATATAAATTATCTGAAAATATTCTGCATAAGCCATCAGCTATCTTTATAGATGAAATTGATTTCCTCGTCTGGATTCTAGTATAGGTAGTTGTTTCAATCACTACTTTGCAAATGTATACACATGAAAATGTTGAATTTTACATAGTTAATCAATTGTGTTCTTTTGGATTTCCTTGTTTATGTAGCATGCATATACAAATCCTTGCATTCTTTCTTAGTCTAAACTCTAATGGCTCGTTTGATTCGTGGAAAATATTTTAAGAGAAGTGCAATTGAAATTCCATGGAAAACCAATTATTAGAAAGATGAATTCCATTGTTTGGTTGGTGGAAAAAAAAAAGTACTAGGAATACTAATTCTATTGTTTGGTTAGATTTGGAATTGTAAGGAATAACGAGTATAAAGACCTATACGTCCCTACATATTAATAAGAGTAATATAATTAAGAAAGAAAACAAGAACAAAATAGTCAAACCATATCACTTTTTCTTCCCATCTTCCATGAAAAACAAAATCCTTGGTGTTTTCTTCAAATTTGAAGAATTCATTTTCCAACGGAAAATGAATTTCATGAACCAACACCAAAAAATAACATTTTCCTTCACTTTAAGGAAAATATTTTCCATGAAAAAACTTTTCCATCCAATCAAACATCCCCTCAAGCTTGGTTCAAGAAACTTCACGATTTTTTACTGTATGCAGGTTTCTCGCCATCCAAAACAAATGTCTCGCTGTTTCACTTCACATCAGGCTCCTCACGGGTGTTCTTACTTGTTTACGTCGATGACATCATTATGATGGGAAACAATTATGTTCTAGTCAACTCTTTACTTCAACGCTGGGCTACAGCTTTCAAGATCCGAGACCTTGGCAAACCTGGGTTCTTTTTGAGTATTGAAACAATTGCAGTAGAAGGTGGCCTAATCCTCTCACAGCGGTGCCACATAACAGATCTGCTTAACCGTTCCAGGATGGTAGACTGTAAGCCCCTAGCCACGTCAGCGGCTGTCACACAAGCGGTAACTCCTTCAACACAACCGTATGAGGATCCCACACATTATCGTCGCATAGTGGGCGCCTTGCAGTATTTGACTATCACTCGGCCAGATCTCTCTTATATATGCGGTCAATCGTCTATGCCAATTTATGCACTCCCCCACTGTTGACCACTGGGGCTTAGTCAAACGTGTTTTGCGGTACATCAAAGGCCGACATTCACGCTTTTTCGATCAAACGTGTTTTGCAGTCAAACGGCTTACGTCTCTCAACTTCTGCATCCGCCGACATTCACGCTTTTTCAGACTCCGACTGGGCTGGGTGTCCGATTGACAGAAAGAGCACAAGTGGGTATGCTGTCTTTTTGGGCTCAAATCTGATTTCTTGCCTCTCCAGGAAGCAACGCACTGTGGCTCGCTCATTCACCGAAGCTGGGTATAAAGCACTGGCCGATGTCTCGGCAGAAGTCACGTGGGTTGTCTCATTATTACAAGAGCTTGGTTTACAATCTGGTCAGTCGTCGACTCTCTGGTGCGACAATCTTGAAGCGACTTATCTCTGTGCCAATCCAGTTTTTCACGTCAGGACTAAACATGTCGAAATCGAGTATCACTTCGTCCGCGACTAGCTCGCCTCTAGGTACTTCGTCGTCAACTTTGTGTCCACCAAGGACCGGCTAGCAGATATCTTCACCAAACTGTTACCTGGGCCGAGGTTTGCAGCTCTTCGAGACAAGCTCAACGTTGTAGCACATCAACCTTGTGCTTGAGGGGGTGTGTTAATGATGTTATTATTGTTGGAAAAATTAGCTTAAAATGGCATAAAATGGCATATTAAGTGGCTATTTTGTGGTACAATTATCAGTGGGGTCCACTTCCGATTTGGGTCGGGTCAAAGTGGATTCGGATTCTTCATAGTAAGAGGAAGAGATTGATATATTGTACGCTCAAGACGGATAATGGGTGAATAAGATATTGATTCTCAAAGTAGACCCATTTAAGTTGGGAAATGAAGGGAAAATGTAGGACTTTGTCCCACATTGGTTTGGAAACAAGATTTGCCCCCCTTATATACATGAGCTCTTTTCAAGCTTGTAGAATTGTATAGCATAGAGGTTCTCTCGCGCGGGGGGAGGGGGGGGGGGGGGTGCAAATCGAAATGGCTAAGTTATGCCTAACTTCGGTATCATTTTCCATCTAGTATAGTCACTTGGTTTGGCCAGAACCGAACCGAGAGCACCTACTCTCGTGTGTAGCACGAGAGGTTGTGGTGCACCGAGAGCACAACTCTCGTGCATCTGTGACCACGAGAGTAGTACACTCTCGGGTTGCACCACAGTGCACACGAGAGATGTACTCTCGTGTTGACTGGTCCGTGTGCTCTCGTGTGAACCTGCAACCCAACGGTCTGAAACTCGAAAGTGCAAAAGATTAAACTCATCTGTTACGGAATTAATACTGTTTTAATTCCAATTTTTAAATTCTGAGTTTAATCCTACTTAGTGGTGATCGTTACAGGTGTTACACAATTGGTTTTAACACCAATTTAATGGCCATGTTGAATGTTATCACTCCAACATCCCTATATAAAGAGAGGTAGAAGCAGTAGCATTTTAGACAGTACAAAAAACGAAAGGAATTCCAGTAGCTTTCAGCTTCCCAAAACTCTGCTTCTACTCTCTTCTTTACCAACTAGTGTTCTCTACTTTGCTTTGTTTGCCGGGTTCCTTGTTTAGGTGCTTAAACAAGGAATCGTAGCAGGTTTTATCCTGAGAAACCTAGGCTACAACGCTCCTAGCACTTGCGGGAGGTAACAAATAAGGTTTTAAGGAAAAGAACTTCGTGTTCGAACTCGTGCTAAACCTTTACCCAAACACTCAACCTTTTCCTTCCCAATTTTTCTGTTTTCCCATATAATATTAATCTTTCCGTAGGATTATTATTTTTTTTGGGAATTTTCAACCATATTACCCAACAATCTTAAAACCTTATATCCGTTTCCCGTTGGTTGTTTATCGCTAATTTCCTAGAAGAAATGGAGAATCCAGTTTTGCCAGCTCTCGGGGAGGAGAATGTTGTTGAGAACAACAGTGGTGGGAATGGCAATAGTGTTGCTAATTCCCAGGCTACACCAGTGAACGTTGGTTCACAAGATGGTGGGAGCACCGAGGGATATATTCCCATGACTCGGGTACCTACGGTACCGATTGGTTCGGCCGAAAGACCGGAGAAATTCACCGGTATTGGATCGAATTTCAAAAGGTGGCAACAAAAGATGTTGTTCTACCTAGCAACTCTCGGCTTGGCGAGATTTTTGACCGAGAAGGTTCCCGAATTAAGGGAACAGGATGCCCAATCCGTGATGGCAGTTGGCTATTGGAAGGATTCGGACTTCCTATGCCGAAACTACATCCTAAATGGATTATGTGATGTGTTATACGATGTATATCGCAAGATTGGCACAGCGAAAGCGCTGTGGGAAGCTTTGGATCATAAATACCGAAGTGAGGATGCCGGCGCAAAGAAATTTGTGGTTGGCCGATTCCTTGACTTCAAAATGGTTGATTCCAAAACCGTGCTAAGTCAGGTTGAAGATTTACACCTAATCTTTGATGAAATCCGTGACGAAGGCATGACGTTGAGTGAAGCCTTCCTAGTGGGATCTGTTATCCACTTGCTGCCTCCAGGGTGGAAGGATTTCAAGAATTACCTTAAGCATAAGCGAAAGGAAATGAACCTGGAGGACCTGATCCAGCGACTCCGAATTGAGGAGGGGAACAGGACGAATGATGGAAGAAATTCTGTCACTATTGGTGCTAAAGCCAATGTTGTGGAGCATGCTAAAAACTCCAAGAAGGACAAGCAAAAGCTAGGTCCGAAAGGAGGCATTACCAAGAAGAAATTTCATGGAACATGCTTCAATTGTGGCAAGACTGGCCACTACAAGTCCTCTGAGTGCAAAGTTCCAAAGAAGAAGAACAAGAGTTCTGAAGCAAACATGGTTGAGGAAAGCAATCAGAATGAGGTCGAGATTAGCCTTTCGGATATGGTGACCAAGGTGAACCTCGTGGACTCGAACCCACGAGAGTGGTTCATTGATACTGGTGCAACAAGGCATTTGTGTTGCAACCGAGAAATGTTCAACACCTTTGAGACCGTCGAGGGCGAGAAGGTTTGGATGGGAAACTCTGCTCAGTCTGCTGTGGAAGGCGTGGGCAAGGTGGTTCTGAAGATGACTTCCGGGAAGGAACTAACGTTGAACAACGTGCTGTATGTTCCAGAGCTGAGGAAGAATCTGGTGTCTGGCTCACTGTTGAACAAGCATGGCTTTCGCATGGTGTTCGAGTCAGACAAGGTTGTTTTGTCTAAATTAGGAATGTTTGTAGGCAAAGGTTATGTAACTGATGGGCTTTTTAAGCTCAATGTAATGCATATTATCATGAATAAGAGCAAAGTTAATTCCGTTTACTTGCTTGAGTCTTCCAATTTGTGGCATGGTAGACTAGATCACGTTAATTCTAATTCTATACGTAGATTAATTAACATGGACCATATTCCTAATTTTCAAATTAACAAAAATAACAAATGTGAAATTTGTGTTGAGGCAAAATTAACGAAAGTACCTTTCAAATCGGTTGAAAGGGAAACTGAACCACTAGAATTAATCCATAGTGATTTGTGCGATTTTAGATCGATACAAACGAGAGGTGGTAATAAATATTTTATCACGTTTATCGACGATAGCACACGTTATTGCTATGTGTATTTGCTTAAAAGCAAAGACGAAGCCTTGGAAAAATTCATTCTTTATAAGAATGAAGTTGAAAACCAACTTAATTGTAAGATTAAGAAAGTTAAAAGCGATCGAGGTGGTGAGTACGAAGCACCTATTGGTGACTTCTGTGCGAGTGTAGGTACAATACACGAGCGTACTGCACCTTACTCACCTCAATCGAACGGTGTTGCCGAACGAAAGAATCGTACATTGAAAGATATGATGAATGCGATGCTTATAAGTTCGGGCCTACATCAAGACGCGTGGGGTGAGGCTATTTTTACAAGTAATTACCTTTTAAATAAGGTACCCCACAAGAAGCTCGATAAGACTCCTTATGAGCTGTGGAACGGTAGGAAACCTTCCTACCAGTACCTGAAAGTGTGGGGGTGTCTTGCCAAAGTTTTGGTGCCAACACCTAAGAAAGTAAAGATAGGTCCTAAGACAGTGGACTGTATCTTTATTGGCTATGCACATAATAGTAGTGCTTATCGGTTCTTAGTACACGAGTCCCATAATCCGGACGTACACGAGAACACGATAATAGAATCAAGGAATGCATCTTTCTTTGAAAATGTATTTCCTTGTAGGTCCAATGAGGGACCAAGTTCGTCAAAACGAACATTTGACGAAGCTATGGATAATGATAGTGGGGAATCCGAGAGAGAACCCGAGCTCCAGCCAAGACGCAGTAAGCGGGCGAGAGTTGGTAAATCATTCGGTCCTGATTTTCTAACTTACTTGTTGGAGTATGATTCAAGTACTCTAACTTGTTTATTAGAAAATGAACCCGATTTTTTATCTTGTTTGATAGAAAACGAGCCTCGAACGTACGGAGAAGCCGTGACTTCTACAGAAGGACCAATGTGGAAAGAGGCTATTAAAAGTGAAGTGGATTCTATTTTACAGAATCACACTTGGGAACTTGTTGATCTTCCTCCGGGTAGTAATCCCTTAGGATCCAAGTGGGTCTTTAAAAGGAAGATGAAACCCGATGGTTCCATCGAGAAGTATAAGGCTAGGCTTGTAATCACGGGTTACAAGCAACACGAGGGCCTTGATTACTTCGACACGTATTCTCCCGTGACGAGAATAAATTCCATTACAATGATACTTGCTATAGCCGCGCTGCGGAATTTGGAAGTTCATCAAATGGACGTTAAAACCGCTTTCCTAAATGGCAAGTTAGATGAGGAAATCTATATGGAACAACCCGAAGGGTTCGTGGTTCCGGGCCAAGAAAGGAAAGTGTGTAAGTTGGTTAAATCGCTATATGGTTTAAAACAAGCGCCTAAGCAATGGCACGAGAAGTTTGATCATGCGATGTTAACTAATGGGTTTAAAATAAACGAAAGTGACAAATGTGTCTACGTTAAGGAAACGATAGACGGTTATGTCATTCTTTGTTTATACGTAGATGACATGCTCATCGTTGGTAGTAACGATCGGATGATCAAGTCTACCAAAAACATGTTAAATGCCAGATTTGACATGAAGGATATGAGTTTGGCTGATTTAATCCTCGGGATTAGAATCATTAGAAGACCTGATGGTCTGGTGTTAAGCCAATCACATTATATTGATAAAATCCTTGAAAAATTTAACAAGGATAATCATCAAGGGACTAGGACGCCATTAGATCGAAGCGTTCATCTAACTAAGAACCACGGGGAGTGTATTTCTCAAGTAGAATATGCTCGGGTTATTGGTAGTTTGATGTATCTAATGAGCTGCACTAGGCCGGATATTGCCTTTGCGGTTAGTAAACTCAGTAGATATACGAGTAACCCCGGTGCCATGCACTGGACGGCAATAGTGAAGGTTCTAAAATACTTAAGGTATACTCGAGACCTT